TTTGCCATAGATGAGAGACGGAAAATAAGAGAAGAGAGCGTACCAGTAGTTTAAAACTCGTACATGGAGATGGAGAACACATAAATGAAAAAAACCAGAGATTGGGGGATTTAAATATTGAAGTTGAAACATACCAAGAGAAGGGGAAGAATTCTTGAGTTAAATGTAAACATTAATTTGCAAAATTACTAAGAAAAAAAAAAGTCAAAATGTAAAAAAAAAAGGAAAATAAGATCTTGACGTCGAAGAGATGCCACGTCATCCTATCATGATTTTGCTTTATAGATATACAGATTATCATAAGATAATGGTAATATTAATTTTGTTTAAAATGGGGTTAATATTTTGCTTTAACATATTTTTTAGAGTAAAAGAATAAAGAAGAGAATGATTGCATATGTGAGAGATTATTTTTTATTATTATCACTAAAATATTTAAAAATAAATGTTAAGAAGAAAATAATATTTTGGTTTTCGGATTTGAAGAAATTTTTGAAAATGACGGAGCAAAGACAGTTGTTTGGGAAGAGAGACAGAGACGACGAATGTTTGGGAAAAACACAGTTGGTAAAGAGAGAGAAGGAGAGCCATCGTTTCTTTTCTAGAATAACTTTTTTTTTTAAAGAAAAAATCAAATTACAAAAACAAGATAATACTTTCTTACAAGAACCTGGAAGAATTTTTTTGGAAGATATACAAAGTCAAAAAAGAAGGCCACCGAACACTAAGAGAAAACAACTGAAAACAATATGAAAGAAGAAGAGATCTAAATGCATCGAAACGAGCAACCTATATAATACATTGCCTCCTGAATTGTAACACCAATTCGTCTAAGGGGCCGTTTGCCTAAATACTTATCTGGTAAGCGTTTATCATAATAGAAATCAACAATGTAATTTATTTTATCGGATAAGATTGTAGTACATCAAAATGATATCGTATGCAACAATTAACTCGGTAAGCACTTATTCGAGTAAGAGTCGTCACCATCACTTACCCAGTAAGACTCTTTATCTTTATCATTGCTCTTACCGGGTAAGATTTTTTACCATTGTCATGTTCATCCGGTAAAGAAAATTATCGAGTAAGCACTTACCGGATAAACGTTTAGTAAACGGCCCCCAAGAGTAGTTAAATTCTTTAGAAATCCAATGATAAGAAAATAGGTGGACATCAAAAGGGCGGACATACAATTTACAGAGCTCGAAAGGTGAGATTTTATTCATTGTTCTTTTTCTTTATCTTTATCTTTACTTTCTATGGGTTTAGAGACGAATTAGGATTGATTTTAATCACCCCTTTATTTATATATGTGTGTGTGTATGTATATTCTTGTTATGGATTGACTATGAAGCAACACAACTTCTTCATTTTTGCTGATCTATACGATAATTATTTTAGAGGTAGAAAACATAAGTATAGGAGGGAAAAAATCATTTGTGTTTCATTCTAAATTTTCTTTCCAAATATGAAAAGAAAATGTAGAAAATAAAATCCAAAAAAGTATACGATCTTTCATAATAAAATATACTCATAATGAAATTAAAAAAAATGAGAAAAAACAAATATTAGTGACATAGTTATAAAAAATAACATTTTTTTTTTTCGATTCAAGAACATGAAAATCTTCCTTTTTCCCTTTTAAAATCACAATTAAAAACTTTCTTTTCCATTTTCCCCTTTATTTTATTCTCAAATTTAAGGACACACTATTACAATTTAGTTATGTTATTTTGGGTTTTGGATTCATTGGTTTGGATTGTCTTGAATTTTGGTGGATAGCCACGCGTCCAAGTTAATTGGGGGGAGCTACATGGGCTGTGGGATCCAAGTCCAACAAGTTAGGCCCATCTTAGAATCAATCCTAATTCCTGTGTCAGATATTTATTTACACAAGTCCATGTCACTTGAACTTCATTATATGTGCTTCAATCGAGTCGCAACTTATACATTTTTTTGTACCACTAGAATGTAGATTGTTTTCACAGGCCCAGAAACAAAATTAGCCCTTCATCATATATAAATCAATTTCTTTTTCCTTTTTAAAAATTGCAAATATTTAAATAGTAATAGAATATTTGACAAAAAATATTCTGAGGACGAGGTTGAATAGCATAAACACTAAAAATGAGCTATTCACAACAGGTTTACACTAAAAATATTTTATTTACATTGATTTTTTTTTCATCAACTGCTGCTATTATTTTTATATATGTTTGTGTTCATACGGTGAAAAAAAAATCCATATGAAACTTTTTTTTATTCACGAAAAGTAAAATTTATGAAAATCGCCTTTGGTCTAACGGTATGTTAATCCTTGGCTTCTTAGAAGATCAAATGTTCAAACCTCACTGAAGATGAGAAAGGTGTGTGAGTTTATTTGTTCTATTTATCTTATATAAATATTATATATTAAAAAAAACAAATATATGTGAAACAATATCTTAAATTCTAAAATTTGATGAAAAAAAAATCATGCAAAAAAATAAATTTTAACCGGTTCTCATGGGTTTATACTCATTTAATTTAACACCTACATATTACAAATCAAATGCAACCTCACATATTGTTGGAATTGCAATCCTTACACTCCATTTTAATTCAGAAATAACCGATGATCTTGATAATTTTTAAGGAGTTTATTTTTTAATTAGTTATTGAACAAACGGGCAAATTATGTCTTTTTAATTTTCTTTTTTTTTTATAAAGAAACAATCTTCCTATTTTAGTGGACGGTTTTTAATGTTTTTGTTTTTAAATTTTTTATTGTTTTTAAAAACGGGCAAACCCGTTTTTATCTAAATTGTCAATTTCATAGGCTTTTTATTAATATATGTATATTATACAAGCAAGAGTCTAAGTTGAATATTTGCATCTTTTATGTGATAGGTAGGTATCATTTTATGAAGATATTCATAGCATATGCATCTTATGCATCAAAAGAAGAAGACACGATCGTAAAATCATATATAAACAATTAGCAAATGCATATATGCATACATGAACAATTAGAATATGCATATATACATATTTGACAGTATGAATATGAACAATTCAGAAGAAGAATAAGACATAACGTGTATACGCATCTTATGAATATATGCATATCATATGTATATCATGGTCTTGTTAATTCCTTAATGTAGAGGGATAGATATACTACATATATATACACTTCCATAATTTTATGCACAATGATTTCAGATTTGCACACAAATTAATGTATTTTTGACAAAATGCTTACATTCTATCTCAAATGGGATATTCTTTTTGAATCCTATTAATTTCATGTCGGAGCAACTTTTCTTTGTAGGCTCCCAAAATCAATTCCCAAAAATGGCCTTCTTAATGATAATTTTTCCTTCCTTGCGTCCCCTTATTGAGGCTAACAAATTGCAAAAATGCCACCGCTTTAGAGAGAGCCGTTGATCAAATTAATCTACACCATTGATGACAACATTTAAGAGAGTTGCATTTGATGAGCCTTCTCTGTGTGTGCATATATATATATGAGGATACAAATTCATATATATATATATATATATGAATACAAATTCCTTTGACCTCTTCAATTCTTTCCCAAATTAGAGAAACAAATTAAATGAATGTAATATTTCAGACCACTTGCTCCACAAGATACAAAAAGATGAAAAAAACTAGTCACAGTCATCTCGTATGAATAAGAAGAAAACTGTGTGAGTGCGATAGAGGTAGCTTGAGATATGATTTTGACTTTATATGAGGTAGTGCATGCACTGCCCTTAGATAACTAAGTTGTTTTCGTTACAACAAAATTGAGTTTATAGGACACTTACAATCTCTAAGTGTCCCAACAAACCGTTTTATAGGACTTAATTTATAGAACCAAAATATAAAGTATTTATCTAAAAATATTGTAATAAGTTTTTATGACGCTAAACTCAATTTTTTATAGGACAATTTTTCAAATAGTATCTTATAAAGTTGCTAATGAGACGCTTTATATTAAAAGTGTTCTAAAAAACTTATTACGACGTAAAAAAAATGTCATATAAACTTATCACAACGCCTTTAGATAGGACGCTTTATTTTTTTGGTCATATAAACTAAGTCCTATAAAGAGGTATATTAGGACGCTTAGAAATTGTAAGTGTCCTATAAACCTGATTTTGTTGTAGTGTGCTAGATATGTTTTAAGCGTAAGCTCATTCCAATCTTTTTTGAATGTCCTACTATACTTGAATTAAAACTATAAACCGTCTTAAATGAGTAATAAACAAAATAAAATTTAAAAGTTCATTTCATACTAAATTTTTTACAAATTAAAATAATAATAATATTTAAAATGACAAAGTGAGAATGAAATGTCGAAGAGTCATTTTTGTTTTAATCGAACACTAGTTTTAAATCAACAGTGGTTAAATAAGAGGTAATGAAGTGATGGAACAAAAGTCATGATAAAAACAACTGCTGTAAAATTTTCAAAGAACTATTCTTTCTGCTGAAAGCTAGTCTAGTGACAATCTTTGTAATTCATTCTATTTTCTCGATTCCAACATTTTATGGAAGAAGTTTCCACAAGACAACGAGCATACTCATGAGATTATCAGTTTAACTTTTTATTTGTTGTATACCGTCTTGATGTCCACAAAAAGGTTTAACGTACTAAACCAAATGACTAGATGACAGAGTCGACCAAATTAAGTTTGGATGCCTAACAATTTCGATTTCAATTATTGATCTTGATTGATGATGTAGGTATTTTTTTACTGTTCAACCGTGATGGGTCAGTGAAATAATAGTGATATAGCATTTGTCTGTGAAGAAATGTTACAACAATTAGATCTCTCGGGGCTAGAGATAAGATGTAGTACTCCATTATTAGAGATAACATGGCCTATGGCCATTTGCATGTTGATGTGTACCTCTTTATGCCAGCTAAACCTGGACCATATATATCAACCATGCATAAACTTTTTTGCACCTATAAAAACCCTTCAATCCCATTACTTCACATCCACCCATCATCCTCAAGCACCTTATACCTAAGGGAGTTTCGTTGCTTGAGATATCAAAGATGGTTTCAAAGAGCAATGCTTCACTAGTTCTCTTTCTAGCCCTTAATCTTCTCTTTTTTGCCTTGGTGAGTGGGTGTGGGACTTGCGGTAGCCCAAGCCCTAAACCGACACCAAAACCAACACCAACACCAACACCAAAACCAACACCAACACCAACACCAACGCCAAAGCCAAGTAAACCTACCTGCCCTAAGGACATTTTGAAACTAGGGGTTTGTGCTAATCTGCTTGGTGGATTAGTTGGAGTCCAAGTAGGTTCCCCACCGGTTAAGCCATGTTGCACCCTCATCCAAGGCCTTGCTGACACTGAAGCTGCGGTTTGCTTATGCACTGCCATTAAAGCTAATGTGTTGGGGATCAATCTTAATGTGCCTGTTTCTCTCAGCTTGCTTCTTAATGCTTGTGGCAAGAAAGTCCCAAGTGGCTTCAAATGTGCCTAAGTAAACCAGGATATATATGTGATCCATGTCTCTTGATTTCGTTATTGAAGTTTCAATTATCTTTACTAAGAGCTTAGTTCTTTAGGCTCATGTGGTCACGTTACTTTCTTTCTGTTGATGAATATACATCAAATTATTGTATGAAATTCTGCTTTATAATTGTAACTTTTTGGAGAAATAAAGATATAGTTTGTGTTATGTTGAATTTTTGTTAAACGTGCTATTGTGAATGCTTTGAAGAGCAACTACACAGTAACTCAAGTGCTATTATCTAACATTTATGCACCATGACCAGAAGACTGTACTAGGATCATCAAGTCACACACACACACACACACAAAAATATCCGTGTTCGTAATATATATATATATATATATATATATATATATATATGCACACATAAAAAATACCATGTCATGACGTAAATAATATTCAAGAACTTTATCGGTTTATAATTTTATTCTTCCTTTTATGTTAATTATTGCACGATCGTGCTGCTTTGGCACGATCGTGCATGTTTCCAGGAAAGCTGATCAAAATGCACCTTTTGAGAGGGGTGACGTGGGGATTTCAATCCTTAACTATTTCACCTCTGGCTTCAGTATACATTCAACATTTTGAGATGATTTTAGGGTATTGAAGGTTAGATCCAATAGCCCCCTTGCTCCTGTTCTTCTCATATTTTTTTCTTTGTTTGAATAACAATGGAGATGCTTGTGATATTGAAGATCCAAGTTTGTAATCATCTATCCTATGTGGTCTTTTTATTGGTATTATATATCCATTTCGTTTCTTAATTACTTTTCCACTTATATTTGATTTTATGTTTGTTTTGCCTAATTATTTTTTTTTTCTTGTGTTTGTTGTTTTCTATTTAGTTCATTTTATTTTTGTATTTTTTTCTCCCTTTATTTAGCTGAATAAATGTTGTTTATCATTTGGCTCAAGTTGTACCCCTTTGTGGAAGCATGAGCATGAAATTGACATAGTTTTGTAGGTAGGGATTAGATATTGGGGTTGATAAATAATAGGTGTTGATAGTGATTGTATTTGATAAGAATTCAGGTCGACCACTAGAGAAAAATAGGGTTTCATTGGGTTTATCAATTACTATTAGTTAACTATTTTCTTCATTCATGATTTTGGATATTCAATCTCGAATTTGAGAACATATATAGCTACGGATTAAATTTCTTCCATAAAAATAGGTGGAAATCATGGTTGAGAATCATAGTGGGTTAAGGGTTGGTGATCGTTTACTAAATGCTTATTCGGTAAATATTTATCGGACCACTTTATTTTATCGGATAATTATGTCAAGAATGGAGAACCTTACACGATAAGAGCGATGATAGGAGCCTAGAGTCTTACCCGGTAAGTGAGAGTCGCGATTCTAACCCGGTAAGCGCTTACCAAATAAAAAGTGTTGCATATGATTTTGTTTTAATGGACTAAAATCTTACTTGGTAACTTAAATAAAAGTGTTGATTCTTAGCGGTTAATGCTTACTATTCAACTATTGTGTAACAACCCTTTAATCTTAAGTGCTTTTATCACTTTGAAATAATATGATTGTGGAAAGATTCAAATAATAAAGAGTACTATAATGATTAAGAACGTAAGAATAATGATTCCTATATGAATCACTAATAAAAGAAAATTTGAGTTCATATATTCATCTTCAAATGATTTTTTTTCCGGGTTTAGTAATGGTTAACAAATCAATAATTTATTGTATATGTTTTTATCATTTTTGCCTTTCTAGATTATTTGAACCTCTATGGTTACCATTTTCTCTTCTTAATATAAGATATTAATTTGTGACATACAAGTTTGTTAAAAACTGATGCTTAAATTTTCAAGCTTGAGTTAGATAAAAGGTCAAAGTTCAACCTCTTAAACCAACACGAACAACAGCTAAAATTAGATTATGAAGAAAGAAATGAATGGACATGCATTGTCAAAGGGGTGATTCATTACAAAACCATCACAAAAGTTAATAGATAAATTATTGATGGGTAATTAAAATCAGTGACAGATTACCTATGTATTCTCTGAATGATCCGTCATTTTGACGATTATTAATATTAAAATTGCATCTTGTATTCTCGGGAGGAACCATGCATGCATGGTGTATCTGACATAATAAAGCCATTAATTGACGGGACACATGATATTATTGTAAAGAAGGGTAGTACGACTTGTGAGTTAATGCAAATTCTTACAACTATTCTCTTCTTTCCAAAATAAAATATCCAATTTGGCCAACTTGCAAGAAGACAAAGACAACAAAGGGACCCAGTTCATGAAGATAGAATTGAACCACTTGGCTCACAAGATTTCAAAAAGGATCATATAAGAATAAAAAGAAAATGAGTTCAATGTGAATTAGAAGAAAACTATGTACAACAATGACAATAATTTTGCGTGGTGCACTTAGCTTCTAAGAAATGTGTCGATCGCTCCTGTGAGACTCTTTTCCACCCATGATATACGAATTGCTAGATACGATGGTGATGTACAGACTCAAGTCTTTGGCTAACACATGGATTTAATTAGGCATCAAAAGATTATGATATATATATATATATATATATATATATATGACTTTCAGCAGTTAACTCACATTCATTTGAATTGGACAATATATTGGCATCAATAAAAGAGTAGGATTTTGGTTTCAGTTAGATCAAACTATTTTACCCTCAAATTAAATTAACAATCATCTACGATCAGGAAAAAATTTATATGTTTCCATAGTACCAAAAATAATGATTCCTAGCTTGACTCTAGATTGTTTTACTATTAACCAATGTTACAGGGTGAAATGGCTATCTCCGATTATGATGATATATATAACCTGCATTTTATTGTCTTAAAAAAACCACGCAATATTTGGATATCTGGTAGCTTAGCAAGATAGAGTGCTCCATTATAAGATAACAATGGCCATTTGCATGTTGATGTCAGCTATAGCTGGACCATAGGTATCCTTATTGCACCTAAATGAGACTCCAGTCCCATTACTCCACATCCACATGCACCCATATATCCTCCTCAAGTACATTCTCTTTAAAGGATTTTCATAGTTCTTTTTAAAGATGGTTTCAAAGAGTAATGTGTCACTAATTCTCTTTCTAGCGCTCAATCTTCTCATTTTTGCAATGGTGAGTGGCTGTGGGACTTGTGGTAGCCCAGCCCCCAAACTGAAACCAGATCCAAAGCCAAGACTACTTGCCCCAGAGATACCTTGAAACTAGGGGTGTGTGCCAATTTGCTTGGTGGGTTGCTTGGGGTTGAAGTAGGTTCCCCATCGATTAAACCATGTTGCACCCTCATCCAAGGCCTTGCTGACATTGAGGCAGCGGTTTGCCTATGCACTGCTATTAAAGCTAATGTTCTGGGAATCAATCTTAATGTGCCTATCTCTCTCAGCTTACTTTTTAATGTTTGTGGCAAGAAAGTCTCGAGTGGCTTTAAATGTGCCTAAGTTATATAATCATGATATGTGAGAAATGGATCCGGTGGTTGTTTTCCAGCCAAACACCCGAACAGTCACGTCTGTTGGGAACTTCCTGCCAAAAATAATCGACTTAACTGCCGATGGCTATATAAGGCTTCATTTGATGATTGCATGTGATCTTCTTCACGCACACTGTTACTCTACCGGATTTTGTCTCTAAAGGAACATAAACAAGCAAGGTATTGTGTGTTTGTGATCTTTCCAGATTTGTGGTTCGATCTTTTTTGGGGGGGGGGGGGGGGTTGCAAATAAGTGTGCTTGTTAATCTCCTTCTGTTTCCATATATAGTAAACTAGAAACGATAACTCTTCTAGCTAACAACATGAACCCTAACGTTAACCGCTCCATAATGGCTACCAAATAACAACAGTTGGCTAATGGCTTCAAATAGAACTAAATAGTAATTAATATGTAAGGTATAGTACTACTGCAAAATAAAGCTACTGGCTCCGATGAATCTGCCAACTTTAGACGAAATCAACATCCATTGAACGTCTTCTAGGCTTTGGATCGACTTGATGAATTGTAGACCATAGAAGCAATGGGAACACACATGAGGGATTCATAAGCAAACTACAACTTGTGAATATATATGGATGCAAATTCCTTTGACTTCTTCAATTCTTTCCCAAATTAGAGAAACAAATTAAATGGATGTAATATTTCAGATCACTGCTTTACAAGATATAATAAGATGAAGAAAAACAGTCACAGTCAGCACGTATGAATAAGAAGAAAACTGTGAGTGCAGATAGAGCTCTTGAGATACTATTTTGACTCAATATGTGCACTGCCCTAGCTAGATATGTTTTAAGCGTATATATCCCTCACTCTAATCCAAACAACTTGTACATACGAAACATAGCTACGGTGTGATTGACGGCCGACCCAAAATATCAACTTTCACATGTTTTTAAAGATAGTTTTACACATTTGTTTTTGTATCAATGGTGGTTAAATATGAGGTAATAAAGTGATGGAGTTGATTGAGGAACAAAGGTCATGATAAAAAACAATTGCCATCAAATTCTCAAAGAACTAAATTTGTCGGCTGAAAGTTAGTATAGTGACAATTTATATAATTCATTCTATTTTCCGAATTTCAACCACAAGACGACGATCATACTCATGAGATTATCATTTTCATTTTTTTTCATTATACACCGTCATGATTTCCACATGAAGGTCGAACGTATGAAACCTATTGAATAGATGATAATATGGAAAATAGACCAAATTAATTAGTTTGGATGCCTAACGATTACAATAACGGTTTCAATTATTGATCATGACCGATGTAGGTAAATTTTACTGTTCAACCATGATGTGCCAGTGAAATAATAGTGATCTAGCATTTGTCTCTAAAGAGATATTACAACAATTAGATCTCTCGTGGTTAGAGATAAGATGTAGTACTCCATTATTAGAGATAACATGGCCTAGGGCCATTTGCATGTTGATGTGTACCTGCCAGCTAAACCTGTGGACCATCAACCATGCATAAACTTTGTGCACCTATAAAAACCCTTCGATTCCATTACTTCACATCCACCCATCATCCTCAAGCACCTTAATTATACTAAGGGATTTTCGTTGCTTGAGATATTAAAGATGGTTTCAAAGAGCAATGCTTCACTAGTTCTCTTTCTAGCCCTTAATCTTCTCTTTTTTGCCTTGGTGAGTGGGTGTGGGACTTGCGGCAGCCCAGCCCCTAAACCGACACCAAAACCAACGCCAAAACCAAGTAAACCTACCTGCCCTAAAGACACTTTGAAGCTAGGGGTGTGTGCTAATCTTCTTGGTGGATTAGTTGGAGTCCAAGTAGGTTCCCCACCAGTTAAGCCATGTTGCACCCTCATCCAAGGCCTTGCTGACATTGAAGCTGCGGTTTGCTTATGCACTGCCATTAAAGCTAATGTTTTGGGGATCAATCTTAATGTGCCTGTTTCTCTCAGCTTGCTTCTTAATGCTTGTGGCAAGAAAGTCCCAAGTGGCTTCAAATGTGCCTAAGTTAACCAGGATATATATGTGATCCATGTCTCTTGATGTTATTGAAGTTTCAATTTTCTTTACTAAGAGCTTAGTTCTTTAGGCTCATGTGGTCATGTCTCATGCATTACTTTCTTTCTATTGATGAATATACATCAGATTATTATATGAAATTCTGCTTTATATTTGTAACGGTTGGAGAAATAAAGATATAGTTTGTGTTATGTTGATTTTTTCTTAAAAACATACTATTGTGAATGCTTTGAAGAGCAACTACACAGTAACTCGAGTGCTACTATCTCACACACATGCACCATGCATGGCCAGAACACCTGTACTAAGATTACCAAGTCATACACAAAAAAAAATTTGTGTTTGTAATATATATATATATATATATATATATATATATATATGCACATAAAAAATTCATCATGTCATGACGTATACAATATTCAAAGAACATTTTCAATGCTTTTCTTCTTTCTCATGTATTTATTGCACCATTATGCCACAAAGGAGCACGATCGGGGAATGTTTTCGGGAAACCTGAAAGTGCACCTTCTGAGAGGGGTAACTTGCTGATTTCAATCCTTAACTATTTCATCTTTGGCTTTGGTATAAATTCATCATTTTGAGATGATTTTAGGGCATTGAAGGTCAGATCAAATAGCTCCCTTGCGCCTGTTTTTCTCATATTCTTTTCTTTGTTTGAATAAGAATGGAAATGCTTGTGATATTCATGAAGATCCAAGTTTGTAATCATCTATCCTATGTGGTCTTTATATTGGTATTCTATATCCATTTCGGTTTCTTAGTTTTCCACTTATTTGATTTTATGTTTGCGTTGCTTTGTTTATTTTTTTTCTTGTGTTAGTTTGTTGTTTTCTATTTAGTTCTTTATATTTTTGTATTTTTTTCTCCTTTTCTTTCGCTGAATAAATGTGGTTTAGGATCGTTTGGCTCAAGTTGAACCTATTTGTGAAAGCATGAGGTTATCAATATTATTGCTATGAAAATGATATAGCTTTGTAATTAGGGATTAATTAGCTATTGTGGTTGATAAATGATATGTGTTGATATTGATTGCATTTGATAAGAAATCGATCACTAGAAAAAATTACGGTTTCATTGGGATTATGATCAATTAGTACTAATTCACCTTTTTTCGACATTCATGATTTTGGATATTCAATCTCGAATTTGAGAACATGGCTATAGTGACTAAATTTATCCCATAAAAATACGTGGACATCATTGTCGAGATTTATAATGGTTGAGATTTATATTTATTTAGCGGGTGATTTTACCTTATTATAGATAAACATGATAAAAATTAAGAATTTTATTCGATAAGAATGATAACAAGGACCTAGAGTATTACCCAATAAATAGAAGTGTCAAATCTTACATAGTAAACTTTTATCGGATAAAAATGTTGCATATCGTGTTGTTTTAATGGACTAAAATATTATCCAAAATAAAAACCTTAAGAATAATGATTACTATATTAATCACTAGTAAAAGGAAACATGACTTCACCTATGCATATTCAATGAATTTTTTCAAGTTGTGTTAATGATTCACTTATGTGTTACCATTTTTTTCCTTTCTAGGTTATTTGAACCTCCCTCCATGGCTCTCATGATTTGAGATGGATAAGTCATTCTTATATATATATATATATATATATATATATATATATATATATATCGCAAAATAGAGTTTTAGGTAATCCAACACCATTTTCTCTCTTTAATATATGAAGGTTCAAATACGGTGACTTCGGGCTACCTGCAAAACAGGTGGTCGTCCTGAGATTAGTCGGCTCGCATAACAGATTGAATATCCAGGTTAATAAAAAAAAAAACAGCTTGTCCAATATATGGGATTTGTGAGTTACTTATAAGACTCAAGTAAGAGGTTACCAATAACTTCCACCATAGTTTTAAGTTAGATAGTTATATTTAAATTTAGTGGATCAGCTTCTTACTTTGGATTTTGATGGTGAGTCCAACCTTATACACAATGATCGGATTGATGGGGTTTCTGATAAGGCCAACATGAACAGGTACATAACAACTAAAACTAAATTATGAAGAAATAAATAAATGGACATGCATGAACTTCAATTTGACGAGGGTTATATATACAATGAGAGGTGACACATATAGCATGCTTAGAATAATCGTAATTCACATTCTCTCCCGCATTTTCATATTGACGAAGATAACTATTTTTCCTAATTGACGAGTTTGGTTAAATTGATATGATTTCTATAAGCGAAAAAATATTTTGATTTAAATTTCAAACATGATCATTTTGACGATTATTAATATTAAAATTGCATCTTGAATTCTGGGGAGGAACCATGCATGCATCATGCATCTGACATAATAAAGCCATTAATTAATGGAATACATGATATTATTGTAAAGAAGATAGCACGCCTTGTGAATTAATGCAAATTCCTACAATTATTCTCTTCTTTCCAAAATAAAATATCCATTTTTGCCAACTTGCATGAAAACAAAGAGACAACAAACTGACCCAAGGTCACGAAGATGGAATTGAACCACTTGCCTCACAAGATTAAAAAAGGATAGTATATGAACAAAAAGAAAATGAGTTTATTATGAAACAGAAGAGAACTATGTACAGCATGACAATAATTTTGTGCGGTGCACCTAGCGTCTAAGAAATGTGTTGATCGGTCCCATGAAACTCTTATCCACCCATGATATACGAATTATTAGATACAAATGATGAGTTACACACTCAAGTTTTTGGCTTACAAACGTATTTAATTAGACATCAAAAGGTTAAAACATATATGACCTTCATCATTTAACTTTATCAAGTCTCATTTTATCGCCACATTCATTTGAATAAGATAATATATTAGCATCAACAAAAGAGTAGGATTTTGGTTCAATTAGATCAAACTATTTGATCAACTTCAAGAACATCAATTGAATTTTTTACCCCCCGAATTAATCTAATAATCATCTATTTTCACAAATTTTTTATATGTTTCCACAATACCAAAAATAATGGTTAGCTAGACTCTAGATTTTTATACTATTAACCGATGTTACCGGTTGAGATGGCTATCTCCGCTTATGATGATATAACCTGCATTTCATTGTCTTGAAAGGAACAATACAATATTTGGATTCATGGTAGCTTAGCTAGATAGAGTGCTCCATTAAGATAACATGGCCAATGGGCATTTGCATGTTGATGTGTACCTCTTAATGCCAGCTATAGCTGGACCATAAGTACCCTTATATTGCATCTATATAAACACTTCAGACCCATTACTCCATATCCGCACTCATATATCCTCCTCAAGTACATTCTCTTATATATACTTAATCATAAAAGGATTTTCATAGTTCTTTTTAGAGATGGTTTCAAAGAATAATGCTTCACTAATTCTCTTTCTAGCGCTTAACATTCTTTTCTTTGCAATGGTGAGTGGTTGTGGGACTTGTGGTAGCCCTGCCCTCAAACCCAAACCAGATCCAAAGCCAAGTAAGGCTACTTGCCCAAAAGATACCTTGAAACTAGGGGTGTGTGCCAATCTGCTTGGTGGGTTGGTTGGGGTTGAAGTAGGTTCCCCACCGGTTAAGCCATGTTGCACCCTCATCCAAGGCCTTGTTGACATTGAGGCTGCGGCTTGCCTATGCACTGCTATTAAAGCTAATGTTTTGGGGATCAATCTTAATGTGCCGGTCTCTCTAAGCTTGCTTCTTAATATTTGTGGCAAGAAAGTCCCAAGTGGCTTCAAATGTGCCTAAGTTATATAACCAAGATATATGGTATCTTTTGATTCTGTTATCAAATTTTCAATCTTCTTTCCTACGAGCTTAGATGTGAAGGCGTATGTGGTCACATCTAATTTCTTCCTTTCCAAATGATGTTATTGTACATCAAATATGTTGTAAGAAATTATGCTTTATATTTATGACGATTGGGCAATTAAATTAAGATCATTTGCTTTATATTGAATCTTATTAGTATTATTGCAAATGTTTTAGACCATCCACATTATAACTCTGAGTGCTGCTACGTAACTTTATGCACCAAGGCCAAAAGTCCTACACTAGGGTCAAGAAGTCACACAAGCACTAGTAAATTGCAAGAAACAAAAGTCTAAAGAAACAATATTTACATTGTTAAAAATTTTCTTTAAGTTTTCTTATTTTGTTGTGATTGTCTTAGAAAAGATATGCAAAACAACATTTGAGGAGGTGAAATTATTGTATCACTCCATTTCATGTATCAATAGTGTTTCTGTAGGAATACCCGATAATAGGATTGGTGATGACTTGCATGCTATCAAAAGAAAATCAGTCGATCGCAAACACAAACCAAACTTAGTCTTTATGGTGAATTTTGATAATGTATTATACAAAGAAACAAGGGTCATGTTCCTTCCAATAATTCAAATTATTTTGAAAACTGTTAAGCCTCAATAAAACCTCTTGCAGATGGTATGAAAGTATTCCTACTCTAGGAGTCCAATTACAGGATTGTGTGAATATATATAAATATATATATATATATATATATATATATATATTACAAACACTTGAGAACCGATAAAAAAGTATTGTTTTACATGATATTTTTTCATGGATTTAAAATATTTTGCTTCACATATATTTGTTTTAACACCTGGATATTTTTTACGTGTATTTTTCATTTCAATAGGTGAACCAATTTTTTTTTTCCAGTTGTAATATTTTCACAAGATCAACACAAATATATGTGAAATAGTATCTTAAATCATAGGTTTTGATGAAAAAATCATGTAAAAAAATATTTTTATATCGATTATCACAGCTTTGTAACATATCTGTGTTTCTCATTTGATTATCACATATATATATATATATATATATGTATATATATATATATGTATACACACACACAAAGAGAGAGAGAGAGAGAAAGATGAGCGATCAAATGCAAACCACCTCCCTTTTGTGCAAACCCTAACCAATCCCATTCATCCATTTTCTTGATCAATGATTATGATTAAAATGTGTTATATGAGAAAAATAAAAAATAAAATAAAATGTTTAATATTTAATCAAGAAAGGGAAAAATTGGCAAACCATTGTTCGTCTCATTTTTAGAAATTGATTTCATCAATAAAAACATTTCGGAAACTGTATCTCATTTTTTCGTTAGTGAAATTTGTTTCATTATTTTTCTGTATAATGAAATTTGAGCCATATATAGTTCAGTCAATGGAACATTTTCCAAAAATTTGAATAATATCGTTTCGTTAATGAAATTCGTTTCATCAGTGAAATTAGTTTCATGGACTTCACAATTCCAAAAACTGAATGACATTGTTTCAGCAGTGAAAATTGTTGAAATGATTCATAACCAAAATGGAATCAGTTTCATGGTTTCTAACCAAGATGAACTCGGTTTTAAATATGAAACTAAATATTGTTCAGTCAATGGAACACTTCAAAAATTGAATAATAATATTTCATTCATTTTTAAATTTATTTCATGTTTTCTAAACAAAATGGAATCAGTTTCATAGTTTATAGCCAAGATGAAATTGGTTTTATTAATGAAACCAAATATGGTTCAGTCAATGAAATATTTGAAGACCTGAATACTATTATTTCATTAATGAAAGTAGCTTCATGGTTCATAACTAAAATGAAATTAGTTTCATTTTTGAAACATTTTGAAAACTGTATAACGTGGTTTCATTAATGACATTTGTTTTACGAATGAAAACAAATCAATATATGAAACTGTTTCATGAATGAATTCATGAGACTTATTGTCACCTTGAATGAAAGATAGACTATTTGACATGGTGTTGTAAACTATATATGAAACTATTTCATTTATAGTTATTGAAATAAGGTTAGACTGTTAATTATTTGTAATCAAACTGATTTTAGAAGTATAGTTTTACAATTCATATTTTAGGAGTATAATTTAATGAAAGAATATAAACTATTAATAGTAATAATCATATATTAAAATAAATAGATTTATAGCTTCCATAAAAACAGTTACTATATTTAATTTTCTATATTTAAAAACAATTAAAACATTACCAAGATTAAACATTACAAAGTAAAATGACATTCATACCCTTATTCATTAAAAATAAAAAATAAAACATGAAATTTTCCTATTGGTTGAAATTGGTTTCTATAGTTTGCATGATATAGGCGATTTACAATCTAACCCCTCTCTCTCTCTCTCTCTCTATATATATATATATATATACATACATACAAAGATACATATATAGGGAAAGATTTATTTGGGAAGTGGTAAATGTTTGAAAATTAAAAAAGCGAGTCTAGCTTTTCAGCTGATCAACATTTGTGGCTTTGACCGTGAAATACCAGATAATTTTTCTCATGGGTATAAGAAAGATAGAGGGGGTAGTTTTGTAAACTTTACAAATAGGTGGTAAACGAGTTCATATGTGTATCAGATGAGTTCACATATGAAGTGTATGTTCATATGTGAATCTGTTAATTAGTTCACATATGATAGATCTAAAATCAAAGGTCGTTGATAACCCATTGGAAACCTTTAAGCTTTATCGACAGGTTCAAGAAAATATATCAAAGATGAACCAATAGAGTTTATAGACGATTTGCTGTGAAATACTATTGTATAAAACTATCGATGATCCATCAGTATTCTCGATTGATATCCATTGATACTTAAGAGATGATCTAATCCTTATTGTCGTTAATTAATCTAGTTTTTAGTGGTGGTGTGTACGCGATGCATGGGGAAAGAATCTTATAGTTTTAGCATGTGTTGCCGACATTTCATATAGTTGCCATGTTAATGATTTTTTTTATTTTTAAGTAATTTTTTTATTTAATACTTCTAATGAAAGCCATCGATAATCGACCAGAAAGATGCTGAATTTTAACGACAAATTATCGACCTTTTATAAAGTCTCTTATTTGAATACATGGTGGACCATGCATGCATCTAACAAATAGAGCCCATAGAAGCAATTAATGGGAACAGATTATATCATTTTAAACAAGTACAACTTGTGAGTGAATACAAATTCTGCAATTTAGCCCTTCATTAAGCTTGGCCAACTTGGAAACAAAGTGACAACAATTGTACCCAGTTCATGAGGAAGGACCACTTGCTTCACAAGATACAAAAAGCATAAGAACAAAAGGACAATGAATTGATGTGTGAATTATAATAACAAAACTATGTACAGTTAAAGGCAATATTATAACTTTCTGTGGCGCCCCTAGTTTATAAGATGTGTTAATGGTGCCCGTGAACACTCAAATTAATGCACCCATGTTATAACAAGTACCAGATACGACACCAATGATGAACTACATCTGCAAATTTTACGCTTTCGAATGAAATTGGGCCTCAAAACCCTAAAAAATTGATCCTCAAAAATTTGTTTAGGAAAATATTAATTCTTGATACAAGCACATGGTGCAGTTTAGCTGGCATGAGTTGGATATTCTCAAGAAATTCCAACACCCACAGTACGTTATGAATTTGACATGCTCTTTGTCTTCTTGTATATCATCATGATCTTCCTGAAAATTGGCTTCTTTTTTGAATCTTAAATCATCGAAAGAAGATGAACATCATGATTGATGCTTGTCTAATAATTCAAACCATGAAAAAGATGAAAATTTCACACAAAAATTAATATATTATTTGAGGTTAATTAAAGAGATTTAGATATTCACAACATTTATCAACATCAACAAATTAAAGAGTAGGATTTCGGTTTCAATTAAATCAAACTATCTCATCACTTCAAGAGTATAAAATGATGTTACCCCCAAAAAACATATATGTTTTCACATGGCCACCAAAAGGAGTGCTTGGATTTTATGGTGTTCCACAATGTTTACTGGTACACATGACATGACCATATCAAGTTGAATTCTGAAACCTTATGACATATAACCATAGCATTGTCTTGAAATTAAGGAACATTACCACCATTATATCTCAGATAGATATATAGAGTGCTCCACTATAATTAATATGCCAATGTACACAATTAATAATAAAAATACAAGGAATATTTTGAGTGTAAACAAACATTGCCCAATTAATATTTTGTAAAGAGGCCAAGCAACTTTCCGTGCATGATTGATAAAACATATCACCTTGACAATGCTTAAATCAAGTAATTAAGATAGGCATCGTCCGGTTGACCTAAGGACAATTTTGCCGCAAATGATGGTAAGTTAGTGCACGGACGATAAAAGTGTGATATATTAATTAGTGATAAGTACGATGATGATAATTATGGATTGGGTGAAAACTAGAGTTACAAAATGAACTCTACCAAATAAGTTAGTGATTCACATGATCACAACTTTTTTAATATTATTTGCTTGGCCCAACGCATGCATTAAATTTCATTTTTTTCTGGATAACTAAAGCATTACAATTAGTCAATACAAAACATATAAAAAATAAATTAAATAATTACCATAAACTTTCATGTGAATGACTGAATACTAATCAATCACCACTTTTGCCCTATTTAAACCCCACAATTCCTACCTCTACTTTCATCCCTTCACTAATCCTAGCATCTTTGTTAATTACGAAGAGATGGCTTCAAAGACCAACACTCCACTAGCTCTCTTTTTGGCACTCAACCTTCTCTTCTTTGCCATTGCTAGTGGTTGCACCACCTGTCCTACCCCCACTCCCAAACCAAAGCCATCCAGTGGAGCCTGTCCCAGAGACGCCCTTAAATTAGGTGTGTGCGCCAATGTGCTTGGCAGTTTACTTGGTCTTGTTGTTGGGAACCCACCAGTTAAGCC